CAATGGTAAAAGGACAAATTGCAGAGGAAGATCTCACCTTTCATAAGGCCGTTACGTCTCGACCATTCAAGGGAAAATCCATTGAAAGGCAGAGAGCCTCTGCCAGCTTTCCCATTTCAAAGACAACCATGAAGCGTCTCACCCAACAAAAAACAGCATTCAAGCCTACAGCATTACATATAAGGTGATGCTGGAGCCATCAGCATAAGAATGTCAATTCTGGCTGACCCACATATAAGAGTGAACAAATATAGAAATTAACAGATGTAACAGTTATTTTATACAGAATATAAAACACAAAGGAATGAATCTTCGACACTATGAACAGAAATAAACTAAACCAGCTTACAAATGGCCAATGGAAGGATCCATTATGGCAACAGAGGGAAGGTAAAACGCCGTTCTCAGAAAGGAGCAGCAGGAAATCAGTGAATGTCATCTCACCTTCTCTCTTTTGTCCATAGTGGATACCAAACGCCAGCTTTGCGAATTGCTTTCGCTAGCCAGATAAATTTCAAGGCCAGCAAAACCAGACAGGCGGCAATTTTCTGGTGCTACCTCAGCAGAGGAGAGATCAAAGCCTACAGTAAGGTGGGAAACTCTGAGTTTTCGGTTTCACAACGGCTGCTATAAACTAATTCAATCAACTCTAAGTAGGTCCACTCAGAGTTGAGCATGTGCGCAACAAGTATGAAAAGCCATTATCTGTGGAGCCCCGATTTCACGAGTCACCAAGACAACCGACAGCAGGACGTGCCTCTTTCAACCCACTGGAACTAGAGATTTTAATGAAGAAATTTTAAAAAATGGAGAATGCGTTTAATGTGTTTAGTGTGTTTTTGAGGGGAGCTGCGGCCTAGTGGTTAGGGCATAGAGCTTGGAATCCTAAGGTTCTGAGTTGGACCCCCACTCCCACCGACTGCCACTCTGGGTCCCTGAGCAAGACTCTTAACCCTCACTGCTCCCTGAGCGCCGCACAATGGCAGCCCACTGCTCCCCAAGGGGACAGGTTAAATGCAGAGAGTGCATTTTTTTGCGTTGTACTTGTGACAGTGGAATAAAAATAAAAGCTGGAGAAAACGAAAACTGGGAAAAAAGACAGAGAAACAGAGCTTGAGCTGCAATGGAGAGGAAAATAGCGAAGGAGAAGATTGTTGCTTGACTTAATGGGTAAATTTATATGAAGTGGGCTATGGTAGACAGTTTTTACATTTATTAAAAGAAGGGAGGAAGGGATGATGGGATGAAGGTATGAGCGACAATGGGAGGATGGGATGAAAGGGTTGAGGGATGTGGGGATGAGGGATAAAGGGGATGAGGGAGGAAGGGGTTGAGGGATGAGGGGAGGAAGGGATGAGGGGATGAAAGAATGAGGGGTGAAGGGATGGAAGGATAGGGGTTTGGGGGTCGCTGACATCTGAGGAGAAAACAGAAGGCATAAAGATCTCTGTGTGGGGGTATGATCTCCCATAGATTAACGGAGAGAAGAAAGGGAAAAGGAAGAAGGGAGGGTGGGGTTGACGAATCATAAGAGTCTGAGAGGAAGAGGTGAGTGAATAATAAAAAGGCAAACCTTCTGTGTATTTTTCGTTCTTAGCATGACAGAAATGCAATTAATGCTGCTAAACTTAGAAGCAGTTTACCTTTTCATGAACCAACTAATGAGACTGTCTAGACTATAGAGTATTTGCCTTGGACCCATTTCTATTCTTTGGTGTATGATTCTCGCATTGTTTAAGTTTCTTTTATAACAATATCCATAAAGTATATTTGTTTTAGTTTTAAACCTTTTTTTTAACTGTATTTTTCTTTTTGCTGTTTGCAAATAACAATTTTGTATTATTTAGTTCTAATTTTGAATTTATATCTCATTACATTGCTTTCAACGTTATTTCAATCAGTTTTCATGTTTCCTCAAAAATTAAAAGAAAACGTCAAAGATAAACCCATTCAGGCTTGTGTGAAAATGTAAACTGGCTGTGGAATTTACTGCGATGTAGGGGGCCCACCACCAAAATTGGCTAGGACCGGCCCTGCTCTTATGCAGGTATGTGAACATTCTTCCATTTTTTTCCCTCAAATCCTCAAAAATTTAAATAAAAACTAAAATCTGATTTCTTTATTGTGTTTCTTTAGTTCAATCAATGCAACAAAACCTAATAAATTAATATTGTAATGGAATAAAAACTTAAAGCACCAAATATTTTACAGCGTAGCCACATTATGTGACATTTACTCAAGGATAAACATTTAATCATGAATGCTTATTATGTATTTAAGCCCACATAGTCCTTTTTTAATAGTGGGCTAATACATTTAGAGCCCGTGTTGCCATATGAGGCTTATAAAAGACTTTTATATTTTTTGTGGCTCCAGACAGATTTGTTTTTTGCTTTTTTGGTCCAATTATGGCTCTTTGAACAGTTTGGGTTGCCAATCCCTTTTTTAGGGACTTTAAGGAAAACACATCAGTCATGTTTAAACAGCTATTTCATTTGAATATCAAAACACTTGTGCTCGTTGTTTTCCGGGGCCGGGGCCAGCAGTCTTAGAGACTCCACAACTTCCATTTCCCCAGACATCTCCAGCTCTCCTGCAGGACACCCGAGGCGCTCCAGGGCCAGCTGAGAGACATAGTTCCTCCGGTGTGTTCAGGGCCTCCCAAGGAAGGCATTCAGGAGGGATTGGGAACAGATGTCCTAGTTATCCTGGCTGATTCCTCTCGATGAGGAGAAGCGGCTCTACTTCAAGCCACTCCCTGAGATCTTTTCCTTTCAGTCATAATCCACATTTAATAACCATAGATGAGGGTAGGAACCTATAGGGACTACTCTCCCTCTCCATTCTTCACTCACTCATCAACAGGACCCATATTTAGAGTCCTCCTCTTGAAGCAGGAACTCTCCTCCAACCTGAAGGTAATGAGCCACCAGTGTGCATGTCGCTCCATCCTATCTCAGAGCGGACTTGTGTCATTTTATACAAACCAAGTAGGGACTTCCTTTCTGCAATGCAAATTAACAAATTAAATCCATTCCTATAAAAGTAGATTGAAGCATCAGGTATAATATATGTCACACATTTAAAAAGTAGACATTTGTTGATATGTCTCACGTTGAATCATTTATCAGTTATAATGGGTAGCCTCAGAAATAAAAATAAAAAATGTTTCTGTAATGCAAATTGTCAAACAAAATGCATTCCTTTAAATAAAAATGGAGGACAAAGGTTAATTTTAAATTTGGTGGAAATGTTTGGAAACTAAAGAAAATTCATTAATGAAAATACAGAAGAAGAAAACAATTTACTTCTGACTTTTTTACATAATATTTTATTCTTACTTCTTTTTCCAAATACTGCCTTTGAATTCCTCTTTAAATTAAAGTTTTATATTTTGCTACAAAAAAAGACCAAAATTAATTTCCAGATCCTGGTTTGTTCTCATTGTAGCCTGTTTTTCAGCCACTCCATAGTCTGAAAGGTTTGTTTAGGCCCCTTTGTAATGTGAAGTACAGTGTGTAAAAAGCGTTGTGTGTGAATGGGCCGTTAAAATTCCTGGTCCAACCTGCTGTTAAGTATCTGCTCGACACACTCACTCATGTCCCCTCTTGGCAAAAGTTTAAAATTTTTCCAGATGGTTTTTAACATGTTATTAACATGATTTAGGACATGAACAATAGGGGACCTTAAATTGTCCCATCTTATCCTGACGGTCCCCTGTTGGTGGGTGTGTAACGACATGACTGCCCCCTGCTGGATAGGTGGGTGAGAGGACACACATACACATTCCCCCACACACACAGCCCTGTTTATGCCACTTTGCTGAACTAACTTCTGCTGCTGTTGTTAATGCATTTTAACCATTTATCAATTAAGCTGAATGTATTTATGTTGTTTTAATTGCACTGCTATCATACCTGCTGCTATTCCAAACGGACATTATTTAATGTATTAACATCTGGCCTATCTTGGACAAACTCAGCAGCCAGATAAACAGACTTTTAAGGTTTTATTCTTTTTCTTTCAAACTAGTCATTTAGTCTACCTCGTGTTTATTTTCTAATAGCGTGTAGTGTTTGGTATAGATGTTAGATTTCTGTAATCCTGAATTATTAGAATAAAGACCTCATTGTTTAACTTGCAGTTGTTTGTGATCCATTTATACAAATGGTTTATCACTCAGGCCAGATCAACCCTCTTTTGGTAATAGTTTGAATAAACAGAGATTAATAGTTCTTTGATTGATAATAGCTCTGCTGATAACCTAGCCTAGGTCACTAAATTGGTGGGATACTGGATTTTAACAGCTGATCCAGGAACCATCCAGAGGTGAAAGGCATAAACCCTGGTAAGTAAGTAAATTAAATTGATTTCACCTCCGATTTTGAATAAGTTAAATAATTAACCACAACTCCAGTTCTAGATAATCAATCATTAATTATCTACTGGATATTATTTTGCACACTATGATCTCCACACTTATTTTTCTTTCCTTTCTAATCAAAGAATTAGCAGCATGCAAATGAATGTCACCAACACACCTATTGGTAATTCATTTACCCCCAGATATTGTACCAAAACCAGACTATGAACGTTTGGAAACAAACAAAGAGGCGGTTTTAAGGAAAAAAACTATTTTAATAGGTGAAAAAGCCAAAGAAATAATTACAGGAGAGTCCGACTTTCAAGAAAATAATCGTTGGTCATAACGATTCCCTTTAATCTCATGCCATGAGAATCTCTGCAGTGGTCAAGTGCAAAAAAGAAATTGGCATCGATCAGAAACATTAAACAGAAAATCAGCTGATTGTGAATAATGCCAACATTCAACTACCCTTAGAAGAGGAATACATTTTGCTATGTTGTCACATTTTACAGAATGTGAGGACTTTATTTGCATAGATCAATAAATGATTCAACTAGTTTCCTATGCAGAAAAATAAAAAACTTAAAATTTGTGATGTAAAGAAAAACATCTGCTTAGAAAACACTGATTTTTTTTTTTTAGGTAACATGTTGCACAGCTCATGCAAATAAACATCAGTAATACTTTATTGCTTACCAAATGTTACACGTGACGTTATGTTAATTTTCATTTCCCAGATAGATTTCAAATATAAGTCAAAACTGATTAAGTTTTAAAGCAACTGTTTTTATTTTCAGGCTTAGACCTGATACTTGGAGGAATATTAATGATGCCAAACACCTTATCAAAGAGGCTCAATTATAAACGTAGCATATCTAATAGCATTAAAGTGGGGGGACCTCAAACTTGTCCCTGACAGTAACAGGATCTTTAGAAGTGCATTCATCTATATAACTAAACACAAATTCACAGCTTTATATGAAATATAATCAGTTTTAACATTATAATTCAAAACCTGAATAGTTTCCCTCTTAAAGCTGAATTCCATGGGAATGTCTTCTTCTCCAACATTTTAGCTCCTCTTAACAAGTGAAAGATGAATAACTAGAAATGATCTCCTAACTTGCTAAAAGTAGGTCAATAAACCCAAAGTGCTTTTCTTTTTTTAAAAGCTCAACAGCGTATTGAATCTTTTCAGGCATCAGAATATCTACAGGTTGCATCAGCACCTCTTCGTTTTCATCACAGTGTGAGATTATGCAATCTAATCTAAATCTAAAGAATCACCAGAGATAATAAACTAATAAATCTAACAGTGAAAACAGTCTTTAGGGTCTAGAACATTGAACCCATCACCAGTCTCTTCAGCTCCTGAAGCTTTAAACTGTAGCTCCAGACATCCTCTCATCTCAGAGTAACTGAGGAGGATAAAAGGCACCAATTGGGTCCAACGATGCAATCTTTGGCGTGCAAAAATCCTGGAGCAAAGAGAGAAGAGTGTTGGAAATGTTCTTTTCATCTTCACCTTTCTCACAGTGACATTTTGGTCTGGAACTAGTTATTAATTATTCAAGTAGATTTGCAAAGAGATGCACAACACCTAGAGAAGGAAAATATGGACATGGTTCAACCTACCTGGACTAGCTAGTTTAACTTCTTTTTGGTTTTCTTTTTCTGAAAATGTGAGAGACAAATTCATTAAATAGTATCACCGTGGATGGACCAAAAGTTGTTAACTCTTAAAGCCTGGAGCTGGACAGCCCTGTGTTCATGTTAAACAGGCAGGTGTCTGTAGGTTTCTTAGCAGAGTGGTGGAGCAGAGTGAAAGAAATATGTTGGAGCGCACAGCAGTTTTCAATTCAAAGGTTGGAGCCAGGATTTTGCTCCGCTCCAGTTCGCTCCGACTTTATTTAAATTCATGTTTGACTTAAAACCTAGGCCTACGCTGTAATCTGTGCCTATAATCTGTTTAATCAGTCTGCGATTCTGTGGTAAAGTTGAAACATAGAGACGAGGATTGCATATTGTGTGATAAAAAGTGAGATAAAAT